TCATGGTTGGGTATAAGGCTTTGCAGAAATTAAATGTGTTACGTTTCTACGTTTTATTTATATTTTTGCTAAAATCTGCGGTTTGAAAAGAGATATCCAAATGCGGTTTCCGCCAAAGTATTGGGCTTTTTTTCTCTATCTAACTATGTAAAAAGGTATATATCGTTGTATTTAAATTTTTTGAAAAATTTCGTAAAATTTGTCAGTTTTTAACTTAACGCCCTCTAGCGGCGTTCATTAAACGTAAGCAGCCACAGTTTATAAAGCTAAAAATGAGGCTCAAAAGGCTCTTCTAAATGAAACCAAGTTCACTAAATTCGGTAAAGCCAAACCGGAGTTATGAGCATTTTTCCAAATTAGAGTTTAACCTTCCCCCACCACTCTATTTCACAACTGACAAAAATTACACCTGAAACTTTTTTGTTCAGAAAACATTGAAGATTAAAATAGTAATATTTATCAGTATACTTTACTTGGTATTTTTTTGAGAGAACTACATTTTTATGTTTTGACGTCACAATTACGCCCCCTAGCGGCCACCCTACAAACTTGAAAATAATTTCCAGCAATTCCTCTTGGCCGTTTTTATTAAAAATATTTTTTCTCCAAAGCTGTACTATTATTAGTTTCTGAAATATAGAACTCTTAATAGAACACCCGGTAGAAGCGATGAAGCTCTGATCGTTTTGATAATCCGCCGACTCATTCATGTACGAATCAGAAAATACGTTGGAACGTTTTACTGACAGTTCATCGGATTATCCATGGCTTTGTAGGAACGGACTATTTTCAATGCGCATGCGTCTGACGTCCTTATGATGATCAGATTAGCTGTTGGAACAAACCTAATTAAAACTTATTTGACAATTTACTTACATTTTGTTTCCCTCTACGAGGTTTAATGAAAAGTAAAGTGAGTTACATTATCTTTTCTGGCGTACTACTTTGCGGTCAGTGTATGCGTTTATTTTGGGATTACTGTGGTCAGTTTTCCAGAGTCGCCGTACCATAGTTGGTGCGGGCTAGTGACATTGCGGTAAGTGTGCTAGTAATGGCTTGATTTAAATATATCACTAAATAGTTTGGGCATTGCGGTCAGTGTTTACAGGGTGGAAAATTTAACTTTGTGTCAATTATGGAAAATTTAAAGTTGTGTCAATTAGGGAAAATTTAAAATTGTTACCAATTATATTTTTTTTAAATCAATATTTTGATATAAATATAATTTTCATGTTAATTAAAAGGATAATAAGTATTTTGTTTACCTTTCTCATAACTTTCTTTAATATAACACTACTTCTGGTAAACTTGTGCCTTGAATAAATATTTTATCTATTTTATTTTACTATTATTTTATTTATGTTTTATTGTTTTTAATCAATGCATACTTATTTCTGTCTAATTTTATTTTGTTTTAAATTTTACCTTTCAATTTAAAATTATTAAATCTTTCATTAAATTAATTTCTAGTATTTCCTGACATTGATTATATAACTAAATATTTTCTATTATAATATTTCTAAATTACAATAGTAGTTTGTGCAACAAGAGTGGATTTGATGGCCATATCGCACGAAGACCAAATTTGAGCACGACGCCGTAGGCGATGTGGACAATCCACTCGAGTTGTACAGTATATTTTTTCTACGACCCACTAACGAAAATTTACAAATAAAAAAAAATATTTTAGGTTATTAGGACAAAATAACTAATTTTATAATAATTTATGATTTTTAATAATTTTTAAAATAAAATAAACGAAAAAAAAAAAAGAAAAAAGTTCATCTCATTTTTCCCCATCCGAGAATCGAACTCGAGTGTTCCGTGTGGAAGGCAGGGACCCTAACCACAGGACCATGTACGCGTCTATTTTTTTGCTTTAATACTCGTAATTAAATTGACTTCATATAGTTTTATTTAAATTAAATTATTTATAATTATAGACGAAATAAAAACAGAAATGCTATTATTTATCGATTCTACGCAAGAATAACCCATTTTAATGTATGTTTAATCTTAATAACTAAAAAATATACTGACAATTAGTTTGACAGAATTGACACATTTAAAATTTTAAAAATAATAGCAGTCGGTTCATCTAAATATGAACGGTGATTGATAGATTTAATTTTTTTGCAGTGTTCTCACTACCTAGAATGAATATGAAATATATTCGTTCAGTTGAAGGCAATAGCATACTTTTTCATTTTGTAATCTGTACGTAGATAGGCTAATATCCATGTGGGTGTAGAAAAATATCTTTCTATACAACCCTATTTCTAATTTCCACCTTCTAACTTAACCCATTATCTGCCTTTTTATTTTATTTTTTTTTCTGAGGTCATTTATGAAGTTGAGTGGTTTTCTATTCAAAAAATCATATGAAAACCGTGTAGAGAATATACTAAGTATTTTTATTTCCTTAATTTTTCTTTTCTTTTATTTAAAATATTTGTTTGAAAATGTGTTATTTTAAACTTTTTTACCTAGTTTCAAACAATTATTTTTTTAGCTAGCAAATATTTGAAAACCATTTTTTCTTCTGCATCACATACGTAAAAAACATTTATTTTGATAGTGCTGTAATTTGTTTTACTTTACAAATCGACTGTCATATTGACATATATTTGTAATGGATGCGTATACGTACCCGAAAACGGTATAACGGTATAACCATTAGGAACAAGATTTGTTTTAGAACTATTGTCTGTGGTAGAAAATCCACAACATATTTTTCAAAAACTTTTTCACGTCCTTTTTGAAAGTTTGAAAGAAAATAGCTTTTTTTGCAACCGGAACAGTGAGAGATAATCGAACCGCTAAATGCCCAGTTGAAGATAAAAAAGCCATTGCAAAAAAGGAAATAGGCTCTTATACTTCCGCATTTGATGAAAACTTGGGAGTCCTTGTAACAAGATGGAATGACAATTCTGTAGTCACGGTAATGACAAATGCATGTAATATTTTAACCCTCATGCAGACAAAACGCTATAACCGGAAGGAGCGCAAGGAAGTACTTATCCCTCAGCCAAATGAAATGTAATTCATCAATACAATAAATATATTGGTGGGGTAGACCTTCATGATAACGGTATCTCCAACTGTCGCATCGGAATAGGAGGCAAAAATGGTGGTGGACTTTGTTTACTAATCTGATAGGCAGCATGGTGGTAAACAGTTGGAAAATCTATAATATAGCGAATGAATCCAAAATGTCACAAGTGGAATTTCGCTAGAACTTAGCACTCTCCTTGCTAGAACATCGATGTTACTTTAAATACTAAAGTATCCAATTCAAACAATGGAAAGTAACAGTATTTATCCGTGTAAAAAGTGTAAGGTGCATTTGCACCCAGACTGCTTTGAAAATTTCCACTTAAAAAATACATTTTCACTAGTAATACCACTAGAGGTCAAAAAATTTCCTGATATTAATTTGACCTCGCGTGGTATTCGGTAAGAAAATTCCACGCCGAAGTATGGTTGAAAATTAAATATTTTTAAAATTTATTTTTCGTTTCTCAACAATGCAAATTATTTTCTCCAAGTCACCAGTGAAACATAAAAGGTGTTGTCGCCTTGATTGTTGAGTTGTCATGGTAACTAAGTGAGACCCTAACCTCGAATATAATTTCAGTTTTGAAGTTGTCAAGCGGCCCGACGTAAAAAAATGTTTCGCTGCAATTATTTAGGCCTTCAAATTGCTTATTTCTACTCATTGTAGTTGCATGGGAATACCATTTGAAAATAGAAAATAGTATATTCTTTAATTTTACGTAAGTTTTGAATAACTACAAGTGGTAGAAAATTGTTTTTCTGCGTTTTTATTAACATGCGTTATGAGCGCTTTAAAATGGTATGAAATTCATAACCAGCGTCAGCAAGCATCAATCGTAGGAGGCTGTGATCATTGTATTTTGACAGTTCAAAACATTAAATAACTCGCGTTTTGTTGCGATAAAGAATATTGCACAGCAAGTAAAACCAACAAAATTACCTATTTGTTTAAAAATGAATCGATTTGAAAATCATACGCTATGCAAAATATGCGTGAAATTGTCTGATGTAATGATCAATCATTGCACCATGACTTACTTACTCGGATTAATAGAGGATTGTGGCTCCAACTTGAAAAACGAAAATTTGTTCCGAATTGTCCACGAATATTTGCACCTAAACTACGCAAAATTCAAAGTGCTGAATGGGAAAAAGGTGAATAAATTAGTGTCTAAATATTATATATATATTTTATTAGACATAGACACATAATTCAAAGCATCCAAAGTCCTGCATTTTCGCCATTAAGAAGAAAAGAAGTGGCCGAAGAATATAGAAAACACCTTAGCATTGTAACTAAAATGTATCAAAACTAAACCTATTATGTGAACAAATAAAAACCAGTCTGTCAAAAATGGTCTGTTATTGTAAACGTCAAAAAATTTCCAGTATAATTCGCTGTTGGGTACCCCACGAGAAAAAAATTTCCACTAAAATACCTCCGTTGCCATGGTGATCTGTCAAAAACACGTATTTTGATTGGTTCAAAATTACAGGTGTGGAATTTTCTTTGTAATATTATTAACTGTTTTTGGCCAAGCGTGCGTATATGCACCCACGATTTTTTCTCCAACAACTATGTTTAGATTTTTTTTTTTGAAATAAGTCTTAATTTATGCATTTTAAATACACTTTAATAAAAAAAAATATAAATAAATCTTGTTTTACTTGTCTTGGCCCGTAATGGTTTAATAGCACTCTGCGATTTTTTCATCTTTAATGAGCATTTGCTCCCTTTTTTAGGACATAATAGGGACGCGTAAAATAAAATAAAAATCTTATATAAGTGACAAGTGTTATTATAATATTAAAGGCGTATTTGTATCTAGTTCATAATTTTGACGTTATTTGTCTTTAGGATTTTAACCATGTTATATTTAGTGTTGTTGACCATTCATATAAAATGAAAAATGTCTTGAAGGAAAAATAAATAAACAAATAAATAAATGGCTAAAATTTTTTGTTTTCCATCGGAAACAGTATTTTACGCATGTATAACAGTTTTTTAGAGGAAGGTCAACAATATGTATGCTGATTTTGCTCCGCTGTTATTATTATCTATTAATTTCAACCACGAACATGGGTTGTCAAGTGAAATTTTATAAATATGTTTTCGCGCTAGTGATTTATATCAATATAAATACAATTATTCTGGGTAAGCATTTATTTTTCAATTTTATTTGAAATTTAATCATATATTTCCTAATTTCAAAATTTTTTTATAGTATTATCGGTCGATAATTTAATTGATAATATAAATGTTTTCATGATTTTGCTATATATCCAATTCTTTGATACATTTCAAAAGTTTGAGAGGTTACAAACATAGATAAAAATGTTTACTAATAATATCCCTAGTGTTTTATTAACGGGGATTTTTGTAAGAGTTTGTAAAAGAACTATAAAAAAAATTAAAAATAAATCAAAAAAATGGAAATAAATTTACGGTAGGTACTGAAAAGTATACGTAAAAATTTTTTAAAAATAAGCTAAATATTTTATAATTTTGTTTATTTTTATTGTATATCTTGCAGTTTACAAGATCTTGGGCTTATTTAATTTAATTAAATTAAGAAACAAACAGGCGTAGTGTAATTACATGTTCGGTGTACAAACAAAATAAATCCGATGAACCTTTTGTCCGCGCGAAAACTTCGGATGGCTTTATTTCTGCTAAAATTTAACTTGTCATGAATTTTTGGTGTATAAGACGGTATATAGAGATACGTAATTTCACATACTTTTCATCTCACTACCCTCCCTTCACTTTGTCCTAAACTACCCTTAATTTAATATTTAGAGAAATAAGAAAGAGCACAATGTTTTAAGTAAAAACACAATTAAAAAAGTTATAAGTTACATAGGTTATTTCCTAAGGTATTATAATAAAAAAATTTGATAGAATGTTTTATTTACTATGAAAAATCAAGCTAACTATAGATAAAAAGTATGTAGAATTACGTCCTCATACTCCAAACATACAAGATACTATCATAAATTTTGCTGAAATGAAGCCATCCAGTTTTTGAGCGGACAACCACTGCCCTTGCTGATGTAGTTGATGATTTATTTCATGCTGAAGATAACAATAAAATAAGTGTATCAGTTTGACTAGATTATTTCAAAGCTTTTGATATGTTAAATCATCAATCACTCATTATTTGGAATTTTCTGATGCAGCTGCCAATTTTATAAAATCTTTTTTAAGCGAAAGAGTACAAATAGGTGAAAAATACGTGTGGCACTCGGGGTCTGCCGAACTGAAACGACGTTAGACGATGCACGGCTTTCAACGCCGCACCGCTGTGCCGGTCGGAGTGGGGGGTGTTAGGTTTATTTTCGTTACGGAATTTCTTTTTCGATTTGTCGATTTTTCGATTTTTCTATTTTTCGATTTTTCGATTTTTCGATTTTTCGATTTTTCGATTTTTCGATTTTTCGATTTTTCGATTTTTCGATTTTTCGATTTTTCCATTTTTCGATTTTTCGATTTTTCGATTTTTCGATTTTTCGATTTTTTGATTTTTCGATTTTTCGATTTTTCTATTTTTCGATTTTTTGATTTTTTGATTTTTCGATTTTTCGAGGGTGTTAGGTTTATTTTCGTTACGCAATTTCTTGATTCGGTCGCCTCGCTCAAAGCCCACGATAAAATCTATGCAATAGCTTAATAATGAAATAGTTAACACTGATAAAATAAAAATTAATATTTTATAAATCTTGCAAAAAAAATTAATATCTAATATTTACGCCAGCCGGGAACATTTCTGATACCAATTTATTAGAAGCCAGAGAAAGCTCTTCCAGTTCTTGTATTACATAAACGTTCCAGTCCGTAGACGTATATTTAACTCCGCTTCATACTAATACGAACGCCGCACCGCTGTGCCGGTAGGAGTGGGGGGTGTTAGGTTTATTTTCATGCTCAAACGCCGCGATAAAAGCTATGTAATAGTTTAAAAAAGTCGCAAAAAATTAAAACTTCATCAAGGCAGTATTCTTAGTCCATTATTATACACTATGTATACTAGTAACTTTCAATATTTTCTAAAATATTGTAACTACTACTTTTATGCTGACGATACACAAATAATTATATTAATAGTGAATAAATAAAAATAGCTGTAATTTCGTCCGATCACCTACTAAATTTAAATCCACTTATATCGTCTGACTTACTATTCTGTAAGGAATCTGTAAAAATTGCAGTACAAAACCAGATGCGGTTAAAAATTGAATCTGAAATTATTCCGACAAACAGAAACAGAAAATAAACAACAAGTAAGTAGCGAAATTACATGAAACTTTAACACAGAGATCATTGTATACATTGTTAACCAATATAGGATTTAAATGGAAGAAAGATGCTCCCCGGCGGGATCTTATGAAACTTCCTCGTGTTTCCAGTATAAGATTTAGTTTTTAAAGTTATACACAATCTCAAAAAAATCTGGCTCTATACAAATTTGTATATCTGGATGAAACATGGATTTTTCAAAATGGTGCAGTAAACCGCTCTAGGCAAAATAATTAAAGGAGCGTAAAAACTATAAGAGTTGATAAGATTCTTTGTTCTTCATGGTTTTTATTGATGGGACAGGACTGGTGTTTTCATCAAATAGTAACAATCCCGACTAGCATGGGGAAATTAATGAAGCAAATTTTTTTAACGTTATGGACAATGCTTCTTATCACATCACGTTAATTTTTAAACCGCCTAATAATTCCTGGACAAAACCTGACTGGCTGACGACACACAATATTCAATTTGATCAGAATATGTACAAACAAGATTTATTGAATACAGTTTTCAGAAATAATTTACCAAAAATTTATAAAGTAGATCAATTTGGACACAAAAATAAGTCTCATGTCACCACTAAATATCTCAAAGTGTCATTTCCGATCAAAACAGAGTCAGTGGTTTCGATGTCATAGAATTAATCGGTCAGTCCGTCAAAATAACAACAGATAGTATTCAGAAATGTTGGGACCGTGAAGTTATATTTAAAGGGTAGGCTTTTTTAGCTGCAATTATTGATTTTAATGGTGATAGCGATAGTGATTCTTATTCTAAATAAAGCTTTTTTTGTTTATTTATATTGGAATAACTACTTCCGAAAGATTCTAAAATTGTATAATGTTTCTTGAGATTCTCGAATTTTGTAGCAACGTGGCAACGTCTACTTTTATGAGTTTATGACGTGAATTGGAAATTTAGTTGCATTTACTTGTGTCGATTATTCAAAAACAGCTGATTATTAGAAGAAATTTTTGAGCAATCAAGACCAGAGAAAAATAAATAATAATTTTAATAATTTTTAAAAAAAAATTTTATCTCTCAATAAAATTTCATATTAAGTAATAATTAAAATATGATTTTTTATTCATACGTACTTACATATATTTGTGAAAATAATGCAGCAAAATCTTAACACAAAAAATGTAATTAAAAATACCTCATTATTATTTCCGAGGTCATTATCAATATTACAACTACAAAATTACCAATATTCTGATAACCCGACTACAATGCAAAATTAATTGTTTCCGAGGGACAACCAAAATATTCAAAATATTTTTTTCACTTGAACAATTTCAGCCTTGGTTAAAAATTCTAAATATATGTACTTTTGTAGAACATTACTTTATTTTGTAGATGTTTTCTTGTAAAAAAATACTCTGACCCGGACTGTGGCCAAGGTTAATTAAAAATGTAATATAAATTATAAATATACACTGTATTCTAAGTTGTGGCTGCATTTTATTATCAATTATAAAATTTTAAAGAATGTAATGAACATTGTTTGAGTGGCGCTTCCTCAATAAAATTAAAGTAAAATTCTTAAAGAACGGCGAAAGGTTTTTTAAGGCTTTTACAATTTGTATGCAGTAAAAATAATTTAGGATTAAATGACTTACCTGTAAGGAAGTTCAGTCATAATTATACGAGGTCCGGTCCACTAGAACACATATTGTAGATACATCCGGTATATCGAATTCGTCACCAGTTTTTAAAGTTAAAAAACCTACCTTGCTAATCAAGGGCGTATGCAGCTCAAAACAAAAGGGGGGCTGCTGTCTGAATTCAATATTTTAAGGAAAGGATAGTGCTAAAATATTATATAATACGAAAATTAATTAACCATTTATTGAAAATCAAAAACTTAATTTTTTAACAATAGTTTGGGTGGATTGCTTGCAAATCTTCTAATTACATCTTCTACCACTTGCTCTTCGTTTGCAAAAACTGCATAGCTAATCCATTCAATCTATTTTCACTAATAGTGCTCCTTAGTCATGGTTTTATTCTACGAAGAGAGCTAAACTAATGCTAGATAGTGCTAGTGGTACAAGGTTGCGGAAGCAATATCAGAAAAGTCTTTCTAATGGTCAGAAAAAACATTTCGCTCTTTTTTAAAATCTCGGTGATGTCTGGTGTTTCCTGCACCTTATTCCACATTTTGAACCATAATTCTCCTTCTCCTTCAATTCCTTTCAAATTGTAGAAATTTTCACAAGATAACGTGCTTCTTTTCCATTCTTCCAATGAAACATGTTTCATGTTATTCGGATGAAAATGGGTTAATGAAAATGCAGGTGATTTTTTTGTGGGAAAATCTTACTTGTAGAGATCCAATGATAGAATCTAAGTAAGGAATTATGAGATTTCTTTTTTAAAAGTCGCCTGGGTTTTGAGACTGGAGGGTTGTTTCTATGCTTTTGTCGGCCAGCAATACGAGCGACAGTTACATCAACATTTAAAGGCTTTGCTATATCGCCTGCTTCTTTAAAATTTCAGCCGTTACATTCTCCGTATTCTTCCGATGATCTCTTAGCATTTCAATAATAGTTTGAATATGCTCGTTGGCACTATATCAAGTGTCTTCATTTAAAGTATATTTGCTACGGGTCCCAGAAAGGCGGAATACTTACCAATTAATGATACTGTTACAATAAACGAAGATTTTCAAGCCGTTGCGTGCATTTGATATGCCTTTTTTCTTGTAGCTCTATTTACCTCCTCAGCTAATGTCTCTAGTGCATAAACTAAATCGACAAAGTATTTCTTAAAAACACGAATGTTTTTATATTTCTCTGACCATCTAGTTTCAAACAATTTAGGAATATTTTAAAAAACAGAAACAGCAAGGA